AAAGTAAATGATTTTTCAGTAATAATGTGCTATGACTTTTTTTTATGTCTGATTTTGTAAGCAAGTAGTTTTAAGTGAGGTGAAACTTGGGGCATACACAAGACAAATCAGACTCCTGAAAGGAGTATAGTAGTCTGAAAAAGTTGAGAGCCACAGGTCTAGCAGATAGTATCCATTCAGAGGAGAAATTGATGATGGAATCAGGTATTTATTTGATACAATCCTGTTTATTTACAAAGAATGAACATAAAATCTTGTTTCCTTGAACACAGTAGGAATCAAATAGCAGGAGGCAATTTCTTTGCTCACAGTCCCAAGCCTCTTTCTAGCCGTGATTTACCCAAAAGCTCTCTCCCCTAGCATTTTGTTAGGGTCATGCTACTCAGGGTTTCTCTGGCGGCATCTCGGGCTTTGCTCCTGTCTCTGTGCTTTCGTGGTGTTTCTGCCGCTTCTCTCTCATACACACAGCTTCAGTCAAATCAGTCCTCTGCTCTTGCTTTTACATTGTCAACAGTAAAACCAATCCGTCCATACAGTTCAGATTCCTTAGCAGCCTTACATACCATCTGTGTTTTGGGTGGTGGCTCTTATTGTTTCAGCAATCTTTAAAAAATATGTCATTTAATTATTTCCTTGGGCTTGTCTTCACTACTGGGGTAAGTCGACCTAAGTTACACTACTCTAGCTATATGAATAATGTAGCTGGAGTCAATGTAGCTTAGGTCAACATACCTCTGTGTCTTCACTGCACTGCGTTGACAGGAGACGCTCTCTGGTCGACTGCCCTTACTCTTTTCGGAGAGGTGGAGTACCAGGGTCGACCACCGGAGAGCGCTCTGCTGTCAATTTAGTGGGTCTTAAGTAGACCTGCTTAATTGACTCCTGCTGCATCGATTGCAGCAGCGTCGATCTCCCCATAGTGAAGACCAGCCCCTCATTTTGCCTGAATGGCAGGTGCCTGTTATATCCACCGGCTCTAGCGAGTTTTTTCCAAACCCTCAGCATAACAAGATATAGAAACGGGATAGTTGAGTACTCAGAGTGATTACTAGATAATGCCTGCCTAGAGATGGATTACATTTTGCCTCAGCATTCAGAAAGTGGGAAGACTGGTGGCCCACTGATTAGCGCAGTAAGAAATCATGGTATTCTCTCCTTGGCTGCTATCAACTTGGTATACAAGCTTTTGCTCAAATTTGTTTACAGCCTTTTTCTGTCACCCTAACTCATTGAGTAGCTTCTTATTCCTTTAGTAGTCCCACTGAAACCAGTGCAACTACACACAGAATAAGCTACTGCCCAATGTAAGACGCAGAATAAACTCAGTTTCCATTCCACATTTGTAAAATAGAAATATTTACCTACATATCTCTCCAGGATGTTGTGACCTTAATCCAATAATACTATAAAGTGTTTTAGATCTGAAATATTATATACTTGTGAAATATAGAAGTAGCAATAAAACCCATAAACATGTGCTGTCAATATTTTAACAGTGGGCTCCCATAAATATATCCTCTTTTAGTTTGTGTTTAACCTTGTTTAGCCAGCTGTGCATGTGGCTGCAGAGAGGAAGTGTGAAGGACTGGGATATTAATTCATTTGTCTTCCTACTTAAATCATTTTCTTATAACCACAACCAAAAAAGGAAGTAACACCATATGACACACTCTTATTAAATACACTTCCCTTAAATGATTATTCTTCACTCCTGAAAATTATATCAAGTGTTTTATCAAAAATAAGCATCATAATACTTGCTCATGCCTGTAACTCCCTTGACTGATGAATGGAAATGCCTTTTGTTCATCCACAATCAGTGCCGGCTTTAGGCACCAGTGCTCCAAGCATGTGCTGGGGCGGCACTTTCCAAGGGGCAGCACTCCGGCTCCTTTTTTTTGTTTGTTTGGGGCGCAAAAAGCCGGGAGCCAGCCCTGAGCGGAGGTGAGCTGCGGCGGTGGGGGGGGCGGGGGGGGCCGCGGGAAGAACCCTGGGGGGGGGAGCAGAGCCCCCGCCCCCCACCGCCGTAGCTCACCTCCGCTCCGCCTGCTCCCCTGAGCGCGCCACTGCCGCTCCGCTTCCCCTCCTCCCCCCAGGCTTACCGCGCGAATCAGCTGTTTTGCGGCAACCCTGGGAGGGAGGGGGGGAAGCGGAGCGGCAGTGGCGCACTCAGGGGAGCAGGCGGAGCGGAGGTGAGCTGCGGCGGTGGGGGGGCGTGGGGAGGGCTGCAGGAAGTAACCCTGGGGGGGCAGAGGAACCGCTCTCTCCCCCCCCCGCCCCCTCCAGCTCACCGCCTGCCTGGGAGGGAGGGGTAGGAGGGGAAATGCAGCGCGCCCGGGGGAGGAGGTGGGGCTGGGGATGTGGGGAAGGGGTTGGAATGCGGCAGGGCCGGGGGGGGGGGGGCGGGGGGATTTTTTTGCTTGGGACGGCAAAAAACTTGGAGCCGGCCCTGTCCACAATAAAAATATAGATTTGTTCAGCTGTCACCACACCCTGCAGTAACACTGAAAAGGTGGCTCTAAACAGCAGTTTTTTAATCCATGTGCTGAATATGTCACTTAAACCACACAATGTCTACCTTAGTTAGTATGTTTAGTTCACAAGAATTTTACTGAGAGAGCCTGTTATGCCTACTGGTGACATTAGATCAAAGGCCAGGTTTCTCAGGGAGAAAGGATTGGGATTCAGTGATGTTTGAAACTCTGTATAAATTATGGATTTTCACATTTTCTGAACTCTTGGCTGCTATATACCATTACTCTCACTGAGGTCCAAGAGCATATGACTGTCAACACCTGAAGCATGCAGCGGTAGGCAGGGTATGGTAAAATAGGGCAATTTTAAATTGTTGAATGCCAATTAATTTTTTTTTTTTTAAATACTAAAAATTTAGTTTAGTGAAGCAAGGAATGGTAAGCCGGTTCTTACTAATTGTTTCTCTAACTGCCACCTCAGGGGTGTGACTCCCAGTATTTTAGTCATGGGTTCTTTTCTGTTCCTGTTCCACCTCATGGGACATCATGATTGAGATCAAGAAAAATAATTACAATTAACAGCCATGGCTATTTTAATATTAAAGAAAGAAAACATTTAAAAAAAAACAACACAAATGACAAACTGGTTACGTCTATTACAGTGTCTTCTGTCCATCTCTCTGTGTAGAGCTTTTAACACGGTTTACACCTCTGAGAGTGGGCCTGCATTTGCTGGGGCACTTTTCTTTTGTTAAATGGAGACCAAGGTCTTATTTCCCAAAATTATTGTGAAGCCAGTCTTAGTCTGTCCTTAGATAACTTAAAATATTTATGAATGGGCAAAATACTTCTGTTTAAGGAAAGGTGGCTCTTGTTGGTTATTAACAAGAACAACGAGACAGTTTATAATTGAGCAAAGCTATTTAATTAAATTCTATGAAATGGAAGAAAATATCTAAATCAGTAACTTGGAAGAAGCCATTTGCCATGCAAGGAGCTGTCTTAAAACATGCCAATTAACGAATATTAAGAATTTTTAATCAAATTAATTAATTTATCAATATTTAACTTTCATCTCCTCTCCAGGAATACATGTTCTAATCATTTGGTGATTAACAGGAGATTAACATATTGAAATAGAATTAATTTAAATATTCCAATAAAATTATTACAAGAGTTTTTAAATCTAATCCTTAAACATTTTACCATTTACATAGGAATGATATTAGGAGTTGAATGTTTATAGAACATCTTTGCAAGTATGCATTTCATAAAGGTATTTGCCATTTAAACATTTAAGAAATAAGGGAGTTAAAACATTTCCAACTGCACGTGTCCTAGGTGCTTTTCTGAATGAAGTTTTTAGAGTTATTATAAAGTTTATTTCAACAAGGATATTCCTAATATTTTTGAGTAGGTTTACTTAGAAGTTTTTTGGGGGAAGTGAAAAAAGCTCAATTTACTTCTAGATTTACTGCTCTGGTAACACAACACTACATTCCTTTTCATAATCAGGGATCTTCCTAAAGTAGCCCCCATCCCACCCCTTTGTTTTTATTTAATTCAGAAGATCTGGGTCACAACATGCTGGTTTTCTTCGTACTTTTAGTCTAGTTTTTAGTGGTAGAATTAATCTTGTTTCTTTTTTAGGCCCTGATTCAGCAAAGCACGTACACAGATGCTCAAGTCCCTCCATATTTCTCAAAGGACTGAGGCACATAAAGCTCACTGGAATCAATGAGATCTGAGCACATGCTGAAGTTCTCTGTCCAGTCCAGAGCCTTAGTCTATATTTGCTTTATTGTAAACTGTCTGGGTTACACTTAAATAAAGATATGGTCCAGCCCAAAGCAACCAAAGTTATGACAATTTCATCTTGAAGGTCTAGTCTGAAGTAGATGACGTTTAAGAAAATCACCTATCAAAGCCAGTGAAGAACAGAGTCAAACTCTCAAAGGATACTTTTAATTTCAAATCACGCTTGTCAAATGAAAGAGGCAAACGTATTGATATTTCGGGTATCATACTGGCTGCAAACCTAAAATTTCAGTGAATGATTTGTTTGGCTAGCTGCTTTGTTTTCTTGGCTATATTTTTGGTGCTCTCCAACATTTTTGGGCAACTGTATTGATTTAATAGCGCAAGATCTCAGCTGTACCTGCTGGTGCCTGGCACCTTCCATTCAGCTGTGTGCACTTCACCCATGGAGTCTGGACTGCTTGACACCCTAATCTCATATTTGCAAGAACAGTAGTACAAGTTAAATTGCATGGGAGGTGAGCAATAGAGTGTACCAGGGCTCAGTGGAGAAGATGATCACTAGTTTAGGTTTCTCATCCCTACAGTACCCAGTCACAATACTGGTATGTATACTGAGGTTGGAAAAGGAAACACAGCACCTTATAAATACAATTTATTATTGTTATTAGAATAGAGTTTCCTTGGGCAGGGCCTATTGTCTTTTTTCCCCTACTAGTTCTTAGGTCCTTCACAGTTGCCAAATTAACTGTTATCTCTTGCCTCTAGTCTCCTGCAGACCAGTGTAAGAAGATCCATGCAGGGGATGAGGTGATCCAGGTCAACCATCAAACTGTGGTGAGTACTTAGTAGATACTGCAGTGTGGGTTTGTTCTGTTCCCAGCACTATGAAAAATATTCCACTTAGTGGTTAGCTTTGTGCAATCTAAATTATTATTTATGCATTTAAAAATATTGAAAGAGTAAAAGTTATCCAGAAAACGTGAAAGCTGTGGTCTGATTGATCAACCGCTCCTCTAGGTATTGAGATAAGTTTGTACATTTCTGTATTTGCTGTGTGCTGTCATATTATATAAGAAGATCCAGAAACATATTATCTATAAATATATTTATTGCAAAAACTCTAATTCTTACACTTTGGTTTTCATAATAAATAAACCCACTAATTTAATACAACTGTTTAAAAATGGAGTTTAAATTGTTTATAATCTAGGATTTATACTCAAAATGTAGAAGTAGTATAAAAGTGAGATACTGAATAATCTCTTCCACAGGAGCCAGTGACAGGCAACTGGCTAATGTAACTCAAAAACATCTTCAAAACAAAGCTTTGATTATTCACTCAAGCAGAGAAAAGGGATAAAACACCAAAAGGCCTGTACACCGAGTTCTTACATAAACTTTATTCTTTCTTTGCAAGTTTTGGGTGAATTCTACTGAGCTCCTGGGCTGGGAGAGTCAGAACGCCCCTGTGGCATTCTTTGTCTATCAGAGACTCATCTCCAGCTACTGCTGCCCATTCAATCCATTCCTCCCTAGTTTGGCATGTTAGGGTTTTAGTATCCCCTTTGATCCTAGGTTTGGGCCTGGGAAGAATAAACCTTGCTAGCCTAGCTGGAACCAGGCAGGTGGTTATTCCCCAATTAATAGCTTCCCCAGTGTTTCCTCAAGGAACCTTATTTGTCATTGTTTCATTTTTCTGTTTTTCCCTCTAACAATCTCCTTTGATTTACTCCTTGCAGTCAGGCAGGATAATATTAAGCAGGTAACCTGAGTTGCATATGATATTTATAATAATAGACATAATTCCCTCATTCTTACCAGGGGTTAATTGAGCTAGCGCTGCAAATGGCTGCTGGAGCCAGACAACCATCTGCTCTAGGGTTCCCAAGGCTGGCAACCATATGGGTATGGCCTAATATTGCCTAGTTAAATTAACTATCCCACCTCTGTCATTGACTTGCTGAATGACCCAGTGCAAGTCACTGCACCTCTGTGTTCCCCATTAGTAAAATAAATGTTATTTCTCCACCTTTGTAAAATTTGTTGAGATCTACAGAATAAAAAGTGCTATATAAGTGCTAAGTTTTATTTTTTGTTATTAAAAAGTCATAAAATGACCCTGATGTCATGGTGACTCTAGGTCTCTGGATTGCCTTTATCTGGGCTTGACTACAGTACATACAGGATGTGTAATGGAGCTAAGTTAACATTGCTGTTGGTACCTTAACTTTTGCATTTCCTGAATTTTTGTGATTGTAACTGAACAACCTTAACATTGCAGTAACTCAGTTGCATGTCTTCAATTAAGTTCAATACATAGATTTCTAACTAGTTAAAACAGCTCATTCCAGTAAATGGGAAGCACTCTCCAGAAAGTACAGTTTGAACAGCTCAAGCGTAATTTTATTAATTAATTCACCATCCACATTTTGGGAAATTCACTAACCATAAATTGGTATAGTTTGGAGTGTTCTCCAGATATGGTATTTTCCTTCCTAATTGGTGGTTGTTACCCTTCATTAACAGATTTGTTTGAGCTTGCAGAGTAATGATTTTTTGTTGTTGTTCCCTCACTGTATTTCCCTACACAACCAGTCTTTTGTTCCAGTTTAATTTCTGTTCAAATCTCCAAAATATGAATAGCATCCAACTTCTGTTCCAGTCTGATAAGGGCCAGATATGGAGATTCTAGTAAGATCTCCCCATGCTGATTGTTAGTATAGACTATAGAGTGTCATCCCAGAGCCTCTTGCCTTTGGAGTCTGTCACTAATGTCTCTTTTGATATCGTTCTTTCTGCCATTGCCCAAATTTGAATTTCCATGGGTGCCCATTACCAGAGAGGTGAAGTCAGTCTTAAGAACTAATTTTGCACTGCTTTGAGTTACTTAATACATTGGGAAAGGATTAATCTTCTGTTTTTCATCACTTTTCATTCCAATAATAGCTTAAAATTTTTAATAAGCAAATATATTTGGAACAACAAAACTCCACTAAAGATTTTCAATTCAAGACCCTGCTATCCAGGATAAGATGCATTATATGGAGCAGTCACACACATCTGCCAGCAAGCATACATTGCCTTCCACATTGGTTTATATTTTAAAATACAAAAAAGTTCCAGTTTTACTGTAAAATAGATACTGAATCTGGAAAGGATGGTCTCTATCGGGGCCGATTATATTGCAATGAGTGTTTAGCAGTGTGTATTGTATTGAACCTGTAGCCTGGATAATACAATGGATCTCTGTTTTCTAATTCTTTAATGAATGCTATAGTTAATCATTTCATTCTTTCAATGGATACTAATAAACAAAAGGAATGATAACCAATGGAGTGATGTGAAATAATGTGCACAGCAAAATCTCAGTACAATTTATTTAGTAACTAAATATTGACAGCTAAAATCATATTCTCTTACTCTGTGCTTCACTGATGTGGAGTGGATGATAGTCTTAGGCCATCTCTAAACTAGGATCATTTTTGCTAAAACAGCACTGTAAGTCTGTGTCCATACTTGAGATTTTATTTTTATACTAACATTTCCCACAGTTGCTAATACCAGCACCACTCCACTGCTGGGAGCAACATTAGATGTGCTAATGTAGACAAAGGAGCTGGTAGATGCTGGCATTTTAAGCACCAGGAGCCAGATCCTCGGATGGTGTATGTTGCCATAGTTCCATTTTCTTTGGAGGAGCTGATTTACACCAAGTGAGGACTTGTACCCATATCATGTAGACCTACTCTGGACAGTGTTAGACAATAAGGTGATTGAAATGTTAATGGCTGTCTGGAGCCCTTTCTGCTCTAGTGCACCCGCTGTGGAGTAGTAGCATTGTTAGCAACTGTGGGAAATTTTAGCAAAACAAACTTACTGATCACTCTTAAATGTTTGACAGTATTTTCTGCTGCTGGATAACTAGTTCCGAGGAAAATTCACACCGGCCTAAATAGGATTCTCTATTCCTAAAATAAATTTCTATGACTGAAACCAGATTATTTTGACTCAAATACTTCTCATTACAGACCTGAGCAAAAAACTCAAATCCCCTGTTTTAATCTGGTTTGTGATTTTCTCTGAATGGTTAAAGCAGAGGAGAGGCTCATGGCAAAATTTGAATCTGTATTTCAAATGTCACAAAGTGTGGGGTTGTTTGGATGTGGGATTTTGGATTGGGTCACCTGTATGTAGTTTAAAGATGCATCAACTCAGCCCTAGCACTTCTCAAAACCCTGGGTTCTTCTGATGGTTCTGATTTTTGGGCTTCCAGGTTCCTGCATTGGAGTCAAGGCCAGATTATGGCAGGGGCTTTAGAGACTGCAGCCCAGGATCCCGGCTCAAGGGGGGGCCCCGCAAAAATAAATCACATGCAGCGATCTCCAACTCTGGTCCGCGAAAAGTCCCCAGCTATGGGGGCGGCGCTTGTGGACGCGGGCAGCGCACGGAGACATGCTGTCTCCCTCCCCTCAGGGGCCCTAGAGACGTGCTAGCAGCCTGCCACTTCCGGGAGCAGCACGGGGCCACAGCATGCAGGCAACCTGCTTGTGCCCTGCTACACCTCCTGGCCGGAGCCTGCATCCCTTCCTGCACCCCAATCCCCTGCCCCAGCCCCCTCCTGCACCAAACTCCTTTCCAGGAAAAAGACTTGTATACAGGGGTCCCACAAAATCTAATAGCCCTGGGCCCACAGGAGAGTTAATCCGGCCCTGATTGGAGTTGCCTGTTCATGGATTTACCAGTTGGCTGCAGCATAGGGATAACAATTATTGTTTCACTGCTTTGCTTTCTCTGATTGAGAAAGATAAATCTAGTTGAGCACCCTTGTACTGATCAGTGCTCTTCTCTCTCTCTCACTTGCTCTACCTCAGGGATCGGCAACCTTTCAGAAGTGGTGTGCCGAGTCTTCATTTATTCACTCTAATTTAAGGTTTTGCGTGCCAGTAATACATTTTAATGTTTTTAGAAGGCCTCTTTCCATAGGTCTATATTCTATAACTAAACTCTTGTTGTATATAAAGTAAACAAGGTTTTTAAAATGTTTAAGGAGCTTCATTTAAAATTAAATTAAAATGCAGAGCCCCCCGGACGGTGGCCAGGACCCAGGCAGTGAGAGTGCCACTGAAAATGAGTGCCGCCTTTGGCACATGTGCCATAGGTTGCCTATCCCTGCTCTACATTGTTTCTTCTTTTTGCAGCATTGGCTGCTATCTTTGGTAGGATCAGGAAGAAACACTGGCTATCACAGGATACATTTAGCTAGTGATGGGTCTGGTCAGGAGAAGAGAACACCTGCTATGCAAACAAGGAGGTGTAGGAGAAATTCTGGGAATGCCATGTATAAAGGAGTACCATAAACTGATGGGAGCACGGGGAGAAAAAAGAGATGATGGAAGGAAAAGACAAAGAGTTGGACAGCGAGAGGTAGAGAAGAAAGTGTTAGGGGAAAATGAAAGAAGAGAGCAAGGAAATAAGAGACTGTTTTAAGGGATGTCCTTTATTTGGTGCTAGAGGAAACATGAGTTGACTGTTGTTTTAAAGCTGCTAAGAAGTATTTGATCAGAAAAAGAATGTTTCCAAGCAATTATTGTACAATATACTCATGTATGCATTCTGACACACATGATTTTATGCCAGGAATAAAACGTTATAGATAGCAGTACCTTAAACGTGAGCTTTTTCATTTATATTTCAGATAATTCCTTTTTTATCTTTGAAACATGAATGGTCATCTTAATAGGCACAAAACCCCTGTTCATGTTTTTCTGGAGAGAAAAGGAAAGGGAGAGGCCTAGAGAAGAAGAGGGTGGACATGAAGCATAAGAGAACAGTAC